CTGAAGAGGATGTCAGAAAAAAGAACAAAGTGGAGATGTGTTGTTGAAGCCGTATGTTCCACTTTGAACCCGAAGGGAATAATAATATAATGTACATCATTAAGCCAATTAAACAGAATCGAATGGCTAGCGAATTCGAACTTCTGCCAAATCTAGACTGTCACGAAATCTACGTCTAATTCTCAGAAAAACGTTTTTCACCTACAGTTAACGTGATTATAAACAATATGGCCCGGGAATGGCAAGTCTGTGTATGTGACTTTGCATAAAATAAAAAAAACTATGAAAACAGAAAAAATAAGACTGAGGAATAAATATTCTATTCGATGTCTCCCTCGGATAATTTCAAAATTATACATACAAGATAATTAAAAATTAAGCCTTTATGACAACATCGATTACAAGACAGTTGTAGGCCATCGGAATGAAGCCTTGAACTCAGGTTTCGTGCATATTGGCACTCGTCAACAAGGCGTATCTCTAATGTTTAAGGAACTCACATCTCTCATTAGATTCAAACCCGCGTCACCCAGTGCTGCTTGCAGTCAGAGGCGTTACTACTGAGCTATTAGGGCTCGCGATTAACCTTCTGTAGGACTGTAGTGGATATTTTGATTTGACACTAGTAACTAGGGTGATGCGTCTAGTCCTTTCATTGTTTGGTGCAGACTAAATTGTATCAGCCAGGTTTGCAATGTGGCCACCATTCTAGGTAGCTCACCATCACGGTACACATTGATTTGATGATATAAGATAGTTGGAGGGGATAGGCAGGAAGCCTTGCCTAAACCTAGGTTTCGTGCTAGTTTGCACTCACCAGTCAGCAAGGCGTATCTGCAACCTTGAAGGCACTCATGTCCCTTTTGAGATTGCCTCCAACTATCTATTATCATCAAATCAATGTGCACCGTGATGGCGAGCTACCTAGAACGGTGGTCACATTGCAAAACTGACTGATAGAATTTAGTCTGCACCAAGAAAGGACTAGACACGTCACAAGAGTTACTAGTGTCCAACCTTAATAGAGAAGATTTGCTTTCAGTTGGATGATTTTGATTTGGTTGTGTTCTTTGAGCTGGTTGATGATTTACTTACTATGCTTTCATTGTCCTTCTCGATAAAATCGACTCAAAACATGATTTAATATAAAGTGATATGTACTCAGTCATATCAATGCATGTAGACAATCATAGATATCGAATCGATTAAGAACATGTAAAGATTTTAAACAGAGGAAACACCAAAATGCAGTCAGGGAATTTCCAGAAGCCTCGTACTCAGATGAATAAGATATTAACAAATACATCCATATTATTGTAGATCTTAGTCAATAAAAATGATCAATAGAGATGTAAATTAACAACCAATCAGGAGAATGGTTATCAGCGGATACAATTATATCATTGGTGGGAAGTTCAGATACATTCCCTTAATGTTAAAACCTGTGACGATCATGCCATCTGGGAAGACAACGAAAGCTCCACAGTTAAATCAACCAGCTAGTTGAATGAACACAACCAAATCAACATTACAGATCATTTGGTACGTGTTTTTGATAAAATGCATATTACATGACACTAAACTGATATTCAAAATAATAGCAGTTTATTAAAAGCATTACGGGAGAAAGAAGTAATTGATTAAAAATACCCATTAAAATTTTTTTCAAAAGAATGGATACTGAACAAAGAGTACTCTTTTCGATAACCCCTTCATCATCAGGATCTACAGTTACATATACACACATTATAGTGAATGAATGAATTAGTGTTATGAACAACATTAATGTTGTTTAAATAACATCGAATCAAAAATATTGATAGATTACAGCTCAATAGCATCAACATAAAATAAGCTGAATGTCAGGAGAATTATGAAAGATTATAATACAAATTCATGAATTTACAGTCTCTACTGAAGGCCAGCCAGTGCAGTAGTGTTGGCTGGACTTGTTTCTTTTGAACACAGAGCACTGGTTGTTTGAGGCGGATTGTGGTAGCCTCTGCTGTTTGGAGCATGCAGTGCTTTCGATGATCTTGACAATTTATTTGGCACCCGGTAGATGACAGAGAAGGATTCTTCAATGTTGGCTGACCTTGTGGCCGGTTTGGACCAGATGGTCTTATATCGAACTGTTAGTCGTTTTAACTACACATTTGCTTAGCCATATTGGGAGATGTTCTCGAGTGAGCACGAAAAATCAAGTTCCTAGAGCATAGGCCAATGTAACTCGCTCCACCACAAGCTCAGTTGAATTGATAGATACAATTTGAAGTGGCTAGTCTAGTCTAGGTACTTCATCTTTCAGTCGAGGTAGCACCATCGGTCGTGTAGAGAATAAGATGTGTAGTTCGCCAGCATTAAAAGTTCTTTGAATTGATTTTCCTAATTTCTTCGTAATTATCTCGCTTGGTATATCGCCCCTGAATTGTAGTCGTATATAAAGTGGCTTCTTCATTACAGATAGTGAGTACTCCTTTTCCGCTTTCTTTGTCATGTGTTTCTTGATAAATTAGTCGGGATAGCTATTTTCGATCAAAGTATCATATACAATGCTTAATTCACCTTCAATTACTTCTTCTGAGCATTACTTAATTGACAATATATTAGTGATGACAGAGCTACAGAATTCGTTTGTACGGACTTTTCCTGAAAACACATACACAGGTTCAGCTTCCTCAGGTGGTTTCAGACGGCCTCATCTACACAAAGTTGAGGAAAAACTCATAAAGACAACATTAAACTTAGTTGGAATACGGTATAAAACTCGAAAATGGCTTATTATCATCAACTTAAGGTTCAGTGTCTACGGATGATGTTCAGAAATTCAATGCTTATCATGCTTATCACCCTTGAATTCCAGCTGGGACATAGATCTTCAACTGCACATCCCCACTCTCTCCTGTACTCTACAGTCTGCTTTAGTTCACTCCACGATTGCCCAAAAGCCATCCTCTCTTCCCCATACAGTTTTCCACTGGATCAACGGCCAACTCGTTGTTTTTCACTACAGAGATGTCCTGGCACATCATGTCATCCGACGATCTTCTGTGCGTGTGTCCGATCCATCTATATTTTCTGTTAAATATTTGTAACGCAATAGCTTCTTCAATCATGCGTTCTCAGAACTTCTTGTTGCTAATTATTTATGACTGGCCATCTAATCTTCATTATCGAGCTGGTGAAGGCAGGTGTTCATAAAGTTTCCAATAGCCTTTTTGAAATGTACTCCTTTGTAGAAGAAGTGATCTCACACTGGTGTTTGAAATCCAAATTTTGTCTCCTCATGCTGAGTGGAGCAGATTCCTAAACTGATTTCAGGTCGTTGGAGATCTGTCTTGCCTTTACCATTCTGGTTTTCACCAGTGCCGACTGGCTGTATTTGAAACGATGGTGCTTAGGCAATTGACTGAAGTCACCTCCTACAAATTTTTCCTCTTTGATACTGACTGGCGCTTGTTGTTGCTGTTGGTTGACTACCCTCACCACCTCTCTTTTCCTTATGTTCACCTAAATTATTGCCTCTACTGGATGTAAGTCTTCAAATTAATGTGATATTAGATATAAAGCATCCTCCGGAGTTTCCGTATTGGTTCAGCGTGGGCCTGTTGATCAGAAATATCATCAGTGATAGTGGACAGTCTTGTCTTACTCCTGTTTTTACTGCAAAGGCGTCAATGAGCTTCCCTTTGTGGGTCACTTAGCATGTGTCATTATCATACAGCTGCTTACTGAGGTTGATAAAGGTTTGACGCACTGCACTCTGCCGTGTTGAAGTAGCCTCCAAATCCGATGATGAACACTCAGTCTATCTGACTCCTTAAAAGAGGAATCATTATGGAGAGAGACAGGGTTGACGATGATGCGAAAAATGGTCTAAAACCATACTCTCCGAGCCCCAACATCCCCTCTATTCCCAACTCTCTCCTTGTATCTCATCAAGTAGAATCAGAAATCAGTATAAAATAATGTATGCTCGTACAACCAAGTACAGGAACTCAACGATACCATACTTGGCCCGTGTTCTAACCGACAGAGACAATGTTAAAAGTGAAACCTATGACTTGCTCTGTTATTAACATAATTTTAGGCTCTTTTATTTTTCTCTTATTGTGTATTCTTTAGTGAACTCCTTCTCAAACATACTTAGCTACCTAATATATTAACATTGGCTTCCTTTTTTGGACTTTACTATATTCTTTCCATTGTGTATCCACTGGTTCCGACTCTATTAGCACTATGAGTATTACAAAATTGTCCTGTCATTAACCATCATGTAATTATTAGTTTTGTGGTTGTTTTTTCTTATCTTTTTTTTCGGCAATATTAACTGACAATCTTGGTTGTGAACGCCAATATCACCACCTTAAAAAGTTTTGTATTATTCAGGATTACTCACACTACCACTACAAACACTGCATTAGACCTGACAATAAAAAACAAAACAACAAACCTGAAATGTTATTTTATGTGATTGTTTAGAGTTGTTACAACCTAAATTAACTGATCATCTTGACGATAAACATTCTTAAATATCATTTCATAACTTCTTGTATGACTGTAGCTTTACCGTCACCATGCATAATCACATCATAGCTTCCACTACCCATTACTGAGTTATTATTATATGATGTTTATTTTCCTTTCTACGCCTTAGTATTTTTTCGCATTTTTAAAAAATTATTTTTTGTGTGTTGTTTTTGCCGTTGTTGTCTTGATATTTATTCCTTTTTTGAAAATACTCCTTTTAAACGTTGGATAAAATTAGATGCAAATATTGTAGATATGTGCTGAAAATTCCACACTGTACCACTAGTACTGTTTCTGGAATAAAGCAAGTTATTATTATTATTAAGTGCCCGTTGAGGAGTTGGCTCCCAATAGCGAATGCTCTTATAAACTTTCAGACCCTCTTTTCACTAGGTAAAATCCTCATTTCTGTATTACTCTTCAGCTAAACTCTATCATTATTTTTATTTTTCCCATTTTATCTTTTACAGTTTTTCGATCCTGATAAGATCTCCGACTTTTATCTTCTTATTCAATGTCATGATCATGGCACTCCATCGCTGACTACCAAACAAACTGTACACGTTGAAATTGTTGAAAAAATCAATGACAATAGAGAAGGAGAATTAAAATTTTCCTATTTAAAACTTTTAGGCAATTTTATTCGTAATGATGTCAATTGCGATTACTATTATTATTATCATAATTATTATTCAAACAGCGTGTCACACTCAACACTTTCAGGAATCTATTCATCAGATCAATGGAGTACTGATCAATATGCGATCAGTGGGAAACGAGAATCACAGAGTCATTATAAGGTGGAATTTGTTTATCACTCTGAATTGCACAGTACCCATTTTCAAGCAGAATCAAGCGTGTGTTTACTTCTTCTTCTTCGAAGAAATATTCTTGTAGGTCAAAAGTTGTTTACTGTTGTAGCAAAAGCTGCTGGTGAGAAAAAAGAAGAGAATTTTCAAATTATTTATGAACTGATTCAAGAGATACCTGATGGTAAGTAATTCATCTATGAAAGTATAATATTTTAGCATAGAATTATATACTACTTAAATAAAAGAGATGGGTAGTAGTGCAACAACAGAAGACTAGGGCCAAGCAACAGATCGTTTATTGAGGAAAATCAACACATATTTATAGATTTTGATGTACATTATTGTAGATTATTGTCAGTAGAAAATACAGTCTTTTGATTGGTTGTTTCTCACAGAAAGTTAATCTTGCATCTCTTTGTGGCTGTGTCAGATCATCCATATGCTGACTTTATCCGCCCACACAAAGCCTTTGTTCTTATTTTCTCACGACCAATATTGGGGACATAAACATTGACGTCAATTACTATCTACCAACTTTGGCTAGCAGCCAGCTCTCAACACAGTTGCATACCACACTGCTCAGACTAAACAGTAGCACTTGCTTGACAGTCTGATAAAGGTGATCTAGACAGCAGATGGACGTTTCTGCCTTTTGGGATGAAGCTCATCATTTATGTACCTGGATCTGACTCAGCTCATAGAGTCGAATCAGTTGAAATCACACTTGACTTCTGGCTAGGCACTTGGGCGAACTGGTGTTAAGATAAACAAAATTCACAATATGCAATATACACAGTCTGAGGAGTGGAATTTTCAGCATGGTTTCCACTGATGAGCTCATCCTTCGAACTGTGTACCTTGCAGATTGATAACGTATTTGAAAATCATGGATTTAACGTATTTCACTAGTGTTAGAGATTTCACACATTCTGACCACATACACCTACGTGTCACACGTATATTTATATAGAAAGCAACACAACCACGAAGTACTGGACAGTTACTTTATCCTTCTTCCGAACTCATCAGTAGTACGCACCCGCCGGGCTCCGAACCCAGGACCTTCCAGTTACAAAGTAAGCTCGTAGACAATCCATCCCATGAAACCCGATTCACCGGAGAATGAATTCCAGTTCTACCAACTCATGATTTTAGCTGAATGGCTGAATGGTCTACGAGCTTGCCTTGTAAGCAGACGTCCCTGGATCCATACTTCGGCTTATGCTTAATGCTGTTCATTCCCTCCCCCCCCGCTCTTGTTCGTTCTCAACCCTAACTGATATAAATCCGTGATCGAAATTCAAACAGACCAAATTCCTACAAAGTAACTCTGTGCAATTGTATGAATATAGGTCACGATCGCAGATAAGAAGTAGGAGAATAGGGTATGTAATATAGCGATAATATGGGTCAAAAATATTGTCAAGTGAATTGAACTTTGGTTCTAAAACAAGATAACCAAAGTAAGTTCAGAGTAATGATAAATAATGAGTCCCAAACTAGGATGAAACAGCTGTCCAGTATTCCCAGGTTTTCCAATGGTTCTCAAGATGATGTCAGCTCATGATGAAATCCTGCGACCAATCGAACACAATCCCTACAAAACGAATACTTGAAAATTATGATAAATAACTTTAGAACACGTAAAACAGGTTTAAGCCTTTATATGATTAAGGCTTCGATGAACTTAAGTATATGACCCATAGCTGTTTGATAAATAGGTGCAAAGGCACTATTAAAATCAACGTAATGTCCCTGTTAGGTGTGTCAGTGGCACAGCGGTAGAATGCTCGCCAACCACTCATGTGGTCTGGGGTTCGATCTACGGCCGACACAGTCCTTTACCTAACTAAGCCAGTGACAAAAATAATATAGACGGAAGGCTAGGCATGATGCTCGCAACCTAATCCCGTAAAAATAAACACCACTGCTACCGAAACTTCAAGTCCTTATCTTGAAGCCCTTTGTTTCACTGAAAACGTAAAGGAAAAAACTTATTTCCCTGTTGTTTGGTTGCTGTGATGACCACAGGCCAGTAAGTTTGCAAATTTACGCGGTCACGTATAGATAGGAAAGCCGCATCGATCCCTGTAAGTCAGGAATACACAACATAGATAAAATTACCAGATATAATTAATCACGGAAATAGATGTCCAGCATTATCTATTGTAATGCATAAAGTTGTTCTCATTAGCGCTTTTAAACCCATATGTTGAACATTTTTGTGGGACATACTTAAGTCCATAAGTTATTTGTCATTAATCTGAACCTCTCTTGATGATTTAATTTTACAACAAGTTGTCTCTCGTTGCCCATAGGGTCTATTGGATAACACTTGACAAATGTTTAAAACGACGGGTACTAGGATCGAGTCTCTAAGGAAACATAATCAGGCAGTGAGGAGTGTAGGTGTACCCACTTGAGGAGCCCCAATTAGGGTAATTCGAAACTGAATTAAAAATGAATAACGTCAAAAATCAGGGATAGTAGCCCTTCTTCCAGTCTGTCCAATGTACTCGCCAACACCTTAGATAACAGCATCTTAATAACAGAAGTTATAGGTGACGTCATCAAGTTACTTATCCAGTTTGGACTGGCTAATAGTGCATGTGATGCTGTATATCGTTATGATCTTAGCGGCAGGGAGACATCTTCTCATTGCTCCTTTCATTCTCTTGTCGATATTTTGTCATACTACTTCTCCTGTGAATAGAGGACAAAAAATGAACATGGTCTTCTTTCCAACAGTTGGATGTTTCATTTTGTCATCGTTTTCTTTGACATAATTTTGGATAAATCCTTTTTGAAGTATTGATGTTGTAGGGATTTTGTTTGATTGCATGGAGGATTTCATCATGAGCTGACATCAGTTAGAGAGCCACTGGAAAACCTGAGAGTATTGGACAGCTGTTTCGTCCTAGTTTGGGACTCTTCTCAGTATGCACCCACCACCAGGGTTTGAACCCAGGACCTTCTGGTTACAAGGCGAGCTCGTAGACCATTCAGCCACTGAGACTTGATCCAATGGTTCTTGAATTCTAGCTTCAATCAATTAACGATATAGCGCGACCATTTTACAATGTCTTCAGCGATGAGTTACTGCCTCATCTTTGACCTTCTATACTCTACTGGTCATGGCTTCCCACTAGAACCCCAGGTTAACTTCCTGAATAGGGCCAGTCGCTAGTGGGTTAGTGAGTTAGTCGCTAGTTGGTTCGAACCCCAGTGGGTGCGTACTACTGAGGAGTCCCAAACTAGAACGAAACAGCTGTCCAGTACTCCAAGGTTTTCCAGTGGTTCTCTAACTGTTGCAGTTCATGATGAAATCCTCCATGAAATCCTTTTTGGAGACCTATATTCCCTTAAGCAATTCTCAACAAAGGCTTATTATTCTATCACTTTATTGGGCCAACGCAGTTTCCTCGTACTGCAATACATTTCAAATGCGTTAATTTTATAATGTTTTCCAATACGATATTGTAATTTCGGGTAGCTATCAGCTGATGGGGATCTGTTAAATAGAGTGATGATATCAGTTTATACTGCGAATTCTATCTTTCTTTCTCCTCATATCAAAATTTATCAAGGTCCACCAAGTGTATGCGAAAAATGTGATTCTTGCTGTTCATAAATTTGAATTTTTTTTATGTTTCAGGAGATACCTTCATCATCGATTCAATATCTGGTACAGTCCAATTGCGAAACACTCAACCTCTTCTAACCAACCGCCAGCCAATTAAAAAACAATTGATAATACAAGCTTCAAAAATTGGCACCCTTTACGATTATTCGAAACATTTAAATCATAAAATTCGATTACTACTTAATCTGACAATCAGTAGTAGTGGTAGTAGCAGTAGCGATAACCAGCCAATAGAAACCTCTACAACTTCGGTGTCAGTTCACCCGAAAAGTAACAGTCGAATTTATCTGAGAAAGGCATTCACTAATGACTCATTTATTGTCTATTCAAATCATACCTATGAATTTTATACTCCGGAATCTATGCCTCCAGGAACTCCTGTGCTACAGAACACAATAGTATACTGTGTCGATCCTTTTAACAATATCTCTGAAGCCAGCAACCATTTGGATAAGCGGTGTGAATTAAAACTAACTGAAATCGACCCTCCATCCCTGTTATCGAACAACAAAAATTTCTATCTATCACCCACTAAATTCTTATGTGACAGCTACTCGAACGAGGTATGCACAGGGTATACAATCTTGACAAATCATCCACTTGATCGTGAGCGGCAAGATCGACACATTTTCACTCTGACAACATCATCAATTGATCGGGATCTCACCGTCTCAAAACCTGCCGAGAATTCAGTGAAAATTATACTTCATGTACAAGATGTGAATGACAATGCACCAACCTTGAAAGAACCTTTCTATTCAACCAGTTTTTTAACACCACCAGTCAAAAGTATTATCAGCAGTAGAATGACTTTTAATCCCCCGTATTACATAACCAATGTATCTATATCATATAAAGTACCACAAGGTTATGTAATTATTCAAATGAATGCAGAAGATAAAGATATTGGTGAGAATGCAAGGTTAAGTTATACACTACATTATATGCGGTCATTTCCAGAGACTGGTTATGAAGGCAACAGACAAAGATGGCAGGTTAAATCTTTTATCGTATTGAATTCCCATACGGGAGTTTTGAGTACAACAAGACAATTATTATTGAGTGATGTGGGAAGGTGAGTTCATTCATGTGATATGTAATCTACCTTGTTTTTATGCATTCCTCTCCATTCCCCGTCCAGGGGATACTAGCCTCTCTCGCTCCATCCCCCTTCTTTACTGGGTGACCGAGCTTCAGGAGTGCGTCTTTCGGGGATCGATCACTGACCATGTGCATCGCTGACGACAATTTCACTCATAAATCACCGACACACAAGCCCTAAGGTCCATAGCTTTACTTATAATATACGGAAACCGTTGTTTTCAGAGTGGCATCCTGTTAGGACCTCTTCAACCTCTGTGATCAGGACACACTAACACTCATGCATTATTCATCCACAATACAGTTGAGGCCTACTCATTATGACTGCAGTGAAATAATGATCTCCTAAGCAACGGAAACTTATAACTCAGTTTGTACAGCTGCCTAATAGAATAATTCGAAGGTAACTGGCCCGATTCCTTCCGTTACTTAGATTTCTCTTCGGCCGTTAAATGTCACACACATTAAATCAATCGTTGATATAAATTACAAAAGCCAAGAAATTAATTCGTGCGTAGACCATATCAATAAATACTAGCTAGTCCCGAAATTCACCATCACCAGGAAGACAGTACAAATTCGTCTCCAGCACTTATTCACAGCCGTGAAAACGGTTCAGATAGACCGGTTTAAAGCTGCTTTATGGATAATATTTGAATTACATAATTTTTTCTAAAACCTATTGTGAAACAAAATAGCTTACGGCGAAATTATAAGTTATGTAACTGAAAATAAAAATCTTTTTCGGAGTGTTAGACAAACCTGTAATATTAGATAGGAGAAATTAGGTAACAGAAGATCATATTTTATGCAAACTGATAGCCTTGATGCCTAGGGATGGTAGGAATACAACAGTCCAATAATGCTGGAAGGAGAAACTATCAACCGTAGCATTTTCTTTATGCGAATGATTATTGCTGATCAATATATGTATTTGTGATATCGATATCATAGAGAAGATTTGTAGCTCAGGTGGATGATTTTGATGTGGCTATGTTCTCTGAGCTGGATAGTTGATTTGCGAAGCTTTCATCACCCTACTAGGTGACATCTTCCTTCAGCGCATACTTCAATTTGAAGTGAGCTTTTAGATTTCTCCAAGAGTTTATTAATCACCTCTCCTGGTGACTTTGGATGTGATTGGTTGCTTTTGTATGTTTTCACAACTTCTAGGTTGCTTGTGTTGTCACTCATTGTTTCTTTGACTTGAACTTTGACTCTGTGTGTATTAGGTTTCTTTCTTATCGGTTGATAAATTTTGTCAATCTCTATGTGTCTATTGATGGATGATTCACTGGAGTACCAGGCAGGCTTCTAAAAATTCTCTAGCATTCTTGTTGTTTCCTCTGTCTAATATTTGAACGTTGTCTCAGTCGAATTGATGTCCGTGGTTGTCTGTATGTAGTGATATGAGGGAGTGGGTGTCATGTCTTTTGACAGCTAGCTTATGTTAGTGGATACAAAGACGAAGGGGACGTCCACTTTGGCCAATTTAGTGTTTTCGCAGTTGATACAATTTATTTTGTAGATGATGTTGGTTTTATCTTCCTTCGCTGTTGAATCTTTTAGTTGACATAGAATTGAGTGAAGTGACTTTGTTGGTTTGTGTACGACGTCAATTCCTAAAGGTTTGAAGAGTCCTGTAGTGATTTCTGAGATATCCTTTATATAGGGCGATTTTCTTTGTGTTTTCCTTGGGGGCTCCAGTGAATTCCACGGGCATCAATTCGATTGGGACAATGTTAAAATATTAGACAGAGGAAACAACAAGAATGCCAGAGAATTTTTAGAAGCCTGCCTGGTACTCCAGTGAATCATCCATCAATAGACACATAGAGATTGACAAAATTTATCAACCGATAAGAAAGAAACCTAATACACACAGAGTCAAAGTTCAAGTCAAAGAAACAATGAGTGACAACACAAGCAACCTAGAAGTTGTGAAAACATACAAAAGCAACCAATCACATCCAAAGTCACCAGGAGAGGTGATTAATAAACTCTTGGAGAAATCTAAAAGCTCACTTCAAATTGAAGTATGCGCTGAAGGAAGATGTCGCCTAGTAAGGTGGTGAAAGCTTCGCAAATTAAGTATGCAGCTCAGAGTATTTGTGATATGTCCACTTGATCAAAGGAGTTCATCACCAGCTGCCATCGGCTAGATAACCATTGGAAACTACTGGGGGAATTAAGGAAAGTTGGATGTTTCGCCGTATTTCAGGACTACTCAGTAGTACACATCCACCACCACTATTAGATCGCGGGACCTTCCAGTTAGGAAGTGAGCCTATAGACCATAAGGCCAACGGGACTCGATCATATCGGCAGTCCATGACCTCAAAATTCAGCTAATTTACGATATAGCGTGACAACCATTCACTGTCATCCATGACGATTATTTGTCTTCACACTCAACCTGACGTGCCTCGCTGGGTCTGAATCCTCACCAGAACCCACCTAAGTACCCACCTGAGTGATATTCAAGTGTTGGATTGCAGGAATTAATTGGTTACAGGATTTAGTCATGAGAAGTCGTGACCAGTGGCGTTCAGCAGGTCAGGTGTGACGACAGATACAATCCACGGATGACACTGGCTGGTGGTTGCGTAATATCATGACTTTGAAAAAGTTGGAATTCATGGGCTTGCCTTTGGGTCGGGTCCCAGTAGCTGATGAATGATCTACGAGCTCGCCTTGTAACCGGAATTTCCTGAGCCCGAAGCAGGGCAGTTTGTGTGCACTGATGAGGAGTCCCAACTTAGTCCTGTATTCAAGTGTGGGTTTTCCAGGGGTTCTCCAAACCTATGTCAGCTCATAATGGAATCCTATGAATAATCAGATCCCTGAAAACCATTTGAGATTTGTTAAAGTTGGCTTTTGTGAATTTCGATGATGAATTTATCAATTCTTCAAAAATGAAGGTGGCAAATTACACCATAAGGTTTCGGCTCTGTCTCCACCACTTAACTGAGTGATAATAATAGCTTCATCCCAAACAGTACCTCAGTTGAACATATAGAATTTCAGCATTTAGTACGGTATTAAATATAATTTCCTCGTTATAGGTATATTAACGGAAACGGGGCATTTACGAGGATAATACTGTTCAAAAAGAATGATAATGTTGAATTAAGTTAAGTGGGAATATTAGCAACAGTATAATAATGAAAGAATGAACAAAAAAGACCATTTACTTAGTGTTTACCAATAAAGTACTAGAGTATTAGAGAAGATTTGTAGCTCAGGTGGATGATTTCCAATTAATAGTGTTCTCTGAGCTGGTTGGTTTAGTTGCGGAGCTTTCGTCGTCCTTATGGACAACATCTTTAGCGCAACTTTTAGCATAAAGTGAACTGATTTAAATTTTCTATGAGTGATAGAATTGCTTCTCCCGGTAACCATCTTTACATTCATATTGATCATTTTCTATTGACCTAGATTTTAAACTGATTTACTTTTTATTAGTTGGTATATTTCGTCTATATTAACGTGTTTATTAATTGCATTTTCGTTTGAGTACCAGGCTTCTAAGAATTCCCTGGCACTTTTGGTGTTTCCTCTGTCTAAGATTTCGACATTATCCCAATCAAACTGATGACCATAATGGTCTATATGCATTGATACTAAAGAACACATATCATGTCTTTTCACGGCTGATTTGTGTTCCTGGATTCTGATTCGCAGGGGAGGCCCACTTTGGCCGATGTAATACTTGTTGCAGTTCATACAATTTATTTTGTAAATGGTATTAATTTTATCTCTTTTCCCTGTTGGATATTTAGGTTGGCATAATATCGAATTAAGTGATTTGACTGGCTTGTGTGCTATATCTACATCTAACGGTTTCGGTATTCTAGCTGTTATTTCAGAGATATTCCTCATACATGGTAGAATGAAATTTCTTGTGGTCTTTGATGATGGTTTCTTGTTGGTGTTTTGATTCGACTTTAAACACTTTTTGATGAAATTTTGTGGGTAACCATTCTTTTTGAAGACAATTTGTAGGTATTTTTCTTCAATTCTTTGCAACTCCAGAGTGCTACAATGTGTTTGAACTCTTTTAAACAATGTCTGCACACAGTTTCTTTTGTGAGTAATTGGATTATTGCTAGTATAGTTGAGTATTATTATTATGGTCATCAATTTGACTAGGATAATGTCGAAATTTTAGACAGAGGAAACACTAAAAGTGCAGTCAGGGAATTCCTAGAAGCCTGGTACTCAAATGAAAATGCAATTAACAAACACGTTAATGTATACGAAATATACCAACTAATAAAAAGAAGGTCATGTGACCAGAAAGTTTAAAATCCAAGTCAATAGAAAATGGTCAATACAAATGTAAAGATGGTTAGCAGGAGACGCTGCTGCTGCTATTCCCACCTGATGAGTTTCAAGGGGAGAGAATTGTGTGTTGGAAGAATGCTCAGGTTACGCCTGAAAAGATAATATTCTCAGCAGTATTAAAGGGACTGTTTTTGGAGACGCCCCACTCGGCCTTCTGACAGATTTCAGTACCCTTCACAGTGTAACAATGTCTTTCTGAAGTAGCCCTTGAGGGATCAAGAAGGAGGGCGGTCGGTGGACAATAAAGAAGGGTAGATAGAATACATGAATTAACAAATTGTAAGCGTATGAACTGGATGATTCCAGATTGTCTTAACTTCCTCCCGTGGAATACAGAAGGAAATATCTTTCTAGAAACTGACATGAAGTGGAAAGACCAGGGAAGACATTATCGAAGGTATTCAACATCTGATCTTATTTCGTCTTCAATGCTATTTATGAAAGTAGAATCATGGGGAAGAACCATTTCGTATAAGTTGCACTTTTGTCTCACATTTGATGGGATTTCCTTTAAGAACATTTGACAAAGACCACTGACTAATATCTAATAAAGGGTCATTCATTTTGGAACTATCTTACTGAGAAGTAGCGGGCATATAAACAGTCACGTCATCTGTATAATAATTA